TTCATGTAACCAAACACCATCTGTTCCCCAAAAACCTATTGGAAAAAAAAAAGACACTATGAAGAAAATAAATAGAGGGCAGGTGTGGCAGCTTATGCGTGTAATAACAACAGTTTGGGAGGCCAAGGTGGGAGGATTGCTTGAAGCCAGGCATTTGAGACCAGCCTGGGCAACATAGTGAGACCCCCATCGCTACAAAAAATAAAAATACTAGCCAGACATGCTGGTGTGCACCTATAATCCTAGCTACTTGAGGCACTGAGGCAAGAGGATTGCTGGAGCCCAGAAATTTGATGTTACAATGAGCTATGATTGTGCCACTATACTCTAGCCTAGGCAATAGAGTGAGACTTTTTCTGAAAAAAAGAAAAAGAAAAAGAAAAAGAAAGGAATAAATAAGCCCCAAACTAGAAAAAATATTTGTAACACAAAGATTTGACAAAGACTTTGAATATAGATTATATATAAAGAACTTCTACAAATCAATAATGAAACTTCAAACAATACAATAAACATAGGCAAAAGGTTTGAACAGATGTCTCACAAAAGAGGATATATGAATGATCAATTAACACACAAAAAAGATGGTCAATACCATTAGTCATTAGGAAAAGGCAAATTAAAATTGCAATGTGTTATGTCACATGTACAAAAATGGTTAAAATTTAAAAGACTAACAGTAGCAAATATGGGTGAGGACATGGAACAATGGATCTCACATACATTGCTGGGGAGAGTATAAAATTGAACAATCCTTTTGGAAAAATATTTGGCAGTTTCTTATGAAGTTAAACATATATCTACCCTATGAACTAGTAATTAGGTATTAACTGTTGAGAAATGAAAACATTCATTGAGCCAAACCTGGAAACGATCCAAAGGTTCATGAACAAGAGAATACATAAACAAATTGTACTATGTTCATACAAAAATACTTCCCCACAATAAAAAAGAATAAAGTACTAATATGCACAACCTCTGTGAGTCTCAAAAACATTATGGTAAACAAAGAAGCTAGATCCAAAGTTGAACGTACTGTATGATTACATTTATATAAAGTTCAAGAACAGACAAAACTAATCTATGATGAGAGAAATAAGAGCAATGGTTACCTATGAGTGGGATTCACTGGAAGGAGTATATGGAAAATTTTGATGATAAAGGAAATGCTCTATGCTTGGAAATTTCTACCAAAAATGGTGTTTTTAAAAAGACAGTTTGAGGCATTGATGAAGTGTATATATACATTTATCACAACTCATCAGATTGTACACTTAAGATCTGTTCACTTTATATAAATTTTACTTTAATGAAAATGAAAAAGAATGCATCTCAATTAGAAGTCAGGCTGGGAAAACCAAAGGAAAGCAACTTAATTTATTTTATTTCTCTGGTATTTAAAATTGATATAATCCATATGTCACCAACTCAAATATTTTGTCCCCGCCATCTATTTTATACATCTTTCCAGTTTTGAGTGGCAAGCAAAGAGGATACTAATTCACAGGTTTTTATGTTTTGTTTTATTTGTTTATTTGTTTTTTTAGTAGAGACAGAGTTTCACCATATTGGCCAGGCTGGTCTCGAACTTCTGACCTTGTGATCCTCCCGTCTCGGCCTCCCAAAGTGCTGGGATTACAGTTGTGAGCCACTGTGCCTGGCCGATTTTGTTTATTTTTTACATTCAGTACTTATTCCAGTTCTTAGTCTTTTCCTACCACAGATTTCATTTCCGTTATTTCTACATTTAGTTTCTCCCAGATTCAAGCAATTCTCCTGCCTCACCCTCCCGAGTAGCTGGGATTACAGGCACCTGCCACCACACCCAACTAATTTTTGTATTTTTAGTAAAGATGAGGTTTTACCATATTAGTCAGGCTGGTCTCGAATCCCTGGCCTCCGGTGATCCAACTACCTTGGCCTTCCAAAGTGCTGGGATTACAGGTATTAGCCACCATGCCCATCCTGATTCACAGTTTTATACATATAATAAGAGCTGCAACCAGTGGTTTGCATTTTCATTACTTCCAGGAAGTAGTGTTTCATTATATGCAGTTTACAGTATCTCTAGTTCTCTTGTCAAGCCTTGTAGACCACTTGAACTGCTCTTCATTTAATGGTACTGTACTTCTTATAGGTTGAGCAGAATTGAAGGCTGGGGAAAGATTGTTTTGGGAATGATAGAAAATCCAGATTTCTTTCCCTAAACCTTTACATTTTTAGAAGCTAAAATACCTGGGAGAATGATGAAGAGTCATGCTGTAATTAAGGAAGCAATTTGTTGATGGTGTGGTGGTGGCAATGATTAGTAAGAGGTGCTGAGCAAAGTAAATACATAACCGAGGAAAATTAGGTGCCCTGTGCTTCAATGAGGAAATTTCATCTGAAAAGTTAGAATTTTATGACTAGCACACATAAATACGTGTCCCAATAGGCCCTTCCACCTACTGCTGTACACTCACACTTATAACCATTCAGAGCTATCTCCTTGCTATTAATGTCTAACTTTCTTACTGACCTGCCAGCAGGGTTCCCCCACCCAGCTGTGTCCCTTCAGGATCTAAGGAACTATTAAATAAGAAAAAAAAATTTTGTCCATTCCTGTTCCACATCCTGTCAGCATGACCCTTCTCCTTCTTCATGTCCTTCTGAGGCATCCTAATTACTCCACAGAGCTTCACACTGCATGCTGTAGTCCAAAGTACATTGCAGCTCCCCTCCTTCTTTCCTGACACCTAGTATATGACCAGTCACATACTTGGCGACTGGTCATTCATTAGCTCATACTCATATACTCTCTGTTGTTGCTGTTAATCAACCTCAGCAAGCTCTTGATGTTAAAGACCATGGCTTGTGTTTTTTGTACTCCAGACGGTACCCTATCACATATAGCTGTTTAATTAGTGAATGAATTAGTTAACTTTAACTCAATTCCAGAAATAAAAACATATTTGGCAGCTCAAACCCATAAGTTATAATGCATTTCGTGTCAACTTTAAAATAGTTTATTTCAACCTTTCTAGAGTGCAAGAAAGGTTCAGTTTTATCTAGAAGTAGGAATATAAACTTATTATATATTTATTTATTTGAGATAGAGTCTCGCCGTGTCACCCAGGCTGGAGTGCAGTGGTGCAATATCGGCTCACTGCAACCGCTGCCTCCCAGGTTCAAGCGATTCTCCTGCGTCAGCCTCATGAGTAGCTGGGACTACAGGCGCGTGCCACCATGCCCAGCTAATTTTTTGTATTTTTAGTAGAGACAGGGTTTCACCGTGTTAGCCAGATTGGTCTCGATCTCCTGACATTGTGATCCACCTGCCTTGGCCTCCCAATGTGCTGGGATTACAGGCGTGAGCCACCGCGTCTGACCAGAATATAAACTTATTAAATATCTCCGGAAATCCTTCCTAGTTGGGCAGCTCTGTCCTATGATTTTGCTCTCCGGGCAACTGTAGATGATCAATTAGCTGGGATTGATTTTCATCATCAGTCATCAGCCATAGCATCTGCTATACCTCTGTTGACTCGATCATCTCCTAGGGGGCTTGTACTCAACATTAATGACAACATTAGCCCAGGTGACATGTAATTAAGAAAGCAAACCTTTTTCCAACCAAAAATCATATGAGAGATTCTAAATCCAAACAGAACAGAGTTGTGGATCATTTCATGTTAGTCTTCATATTCTCTCCAATCCAGTCCACTGACACAGCTTGATGCTTGACTGTCCTCTAAGCCCCTTCCATTGCTGTCAGAAAGCAATGGAATATTCCACACATCTACCCAAAGGACTTCTCTTTCCCGGCTCCCCAGGGTCTGTTTCTCCTGTGAGGGTTCAGAGCTGCCTGGCAGAGGCTGGCTGAAATAGGAGAAATCCTGACTTTCAGAAAAGTGACCTAGTCTTTGGAGAATAATCAGGACATACTTAAGTATGAGTAAAAGGCTTAGAGTTATTCTGTTCTCCTCTGTAATGGGGTGTTCACTAGTGTGACAGTTGTTTTTGTGACTATTGATTTACGTACATTTTGACTAGCACTTGGAACACTACATCAGCATAACTTAAATGAAAGTCCATTTTCCAGGATGGAGTAAACTGGCAGAAATTTCCATTGTGCATCAAATCTGCTATAAATTGTTTGCCTTCTGGGTATTTTTGGGCCCTAGTTGTACTCCTGAAGAAATAACCGCTGTTGCTCCAAGTAGAAAGTGATTGAGGAGACGGCTAACAGATACATCCAGTTCTTATTTTCTATCACAGAGATGTGAAAAAAAATCCTAATTTATCTGAGAAGGAACAGCATTCCTCTGTGCTGGATTTCCAGTGCTTCCCAGCTTTTGCACTGTTAGCTTATTTTTTCCAACGGCCCTGTAATAACAATCCACTCCTTTCCCTGCACTCCTGGCCTCTCGTGATGTTTTATCATGCTCATGCTGAAAGAAAAGGTGTCTGTGCATACTGTATCTCTTTATTTGGCTTCAGGGATTTCCCTTTGATTTGGAAAGAATAATCTTTCAAATTCCGCTATAAAGTATACAGGAGAAAGAGAAAAAAAAAGATTAAACTCATGGAATGTGCACTACTATTGACATTTCGTTCAAATAATGGGCCAAAGGTGAACTATCTGTACTATTGCTCAGGTGAAGGATCAATTATTATCAGTCCAAACTATCAGCAGTGCTGCTCATCATTGATTTATACTGCATGGTTTAATTTTGTCTCCATCTTTCAAGACATTAAAACATAACCAATATTTAGCAGTTCCCGCCATTCACCATGAGCTCCTCAACAGTCCCCTAACTCCTCTCTCCCAGTTCTGCCCAGGATATTTATGGTGAGTAGCAAGTTATCTCCTCTTTGGCAGCCATCCCTGCTTTCCTCTGTGGAGGAATTGCCCACATTCTCATTTGCAAACAGAGGCTCACTCAAGTGTCACTAAAGGAAAGGAGGTGGAGCCTGAAGAGCTTTAAAAAGCAAAGCTGAGTCATCCCACTTTTCAAAAAGAGAAACCGTGTTGGGAGAGGAATTGTATCTCCATATTTCTTCTTTCAGCCCCATCCAAGGGTTGTGGCTGGAACTTTCCATCAGTTCTTTCTTTCTTTTTCCTCTCTAAGCCTTTGCCTTGCTCTGTCTGTCAGAGTGAAGTCAGCCAGAGCAGGGCTGTTAAACTCTGTGAAATTTGTCATAAGGGTGTCAGGTATTTCTTACTGGCTTCCAAAGAAACATAGATAAAGAAATCTTTCCTGTGGCTTCCCGTGGCAGGCTGCATTTGGAAGGTCTCTCAGTTGAAGAAAGAGCTTGGAGGGCAACAACACAACGGGAGAGTAAAAGATGCACCAGGGCTGAGGCCCCACTCAGGCAGCTGCATCTGGAGTCAGACATACTCACCTTGCCCGGTCCATGCTCCAGCAAAGTCAAGCTGTTTTCTTTTGAAAGTTCAAACCCATCAGGATTATGCTGCTCACTCTTATCATTCTGTTGCCAGTAGTTTTAAAATTTAGTTGTGTTAGTCTCTCAGCACCGCAGCACTGGAGCTGTCCTGAAGGTACTCCTGCAGGACATGGGAATTCTACTCGTGTGGGTAAGTACTGCAATGAAAAGGAGCTCCAGGTCTCTGGGAAACTGCCCCTACATCCCTGTTGGTTCAATCTGGTATACTTGGGCATTTTAAAAAGTTTGTCTTTGGGTGTGTATAGTTGCTTCATTTTTGTTTTCTGATGCATGTTTATTTTCTTACTGGCCATTAGAGCTACTCTGCTACCAAATATCAAAATTCAAAACTCTCAAACTGTACTTCTATATGTAAGTGAATATGCCTCATTTTAAACTAGCAGAACATTTCATGGAAGCTTCAGCTTTTATTCTGACAAGAGGAGTAAGTAACACCTAGCTGATTGGCTTTATATTGGAAATTAGGGAAACAGATGGTTGATTTTCTGTTTGTCTGTTTGGAACTCTTAAGCCACAAAGAAAAAAAATTCTTCCTTCTGATAACAGTGTAAGAATTCAGAAGTTGCTAAAAATTAGTGAAAAATGGGAAGGGAACTGTGAACAAAGGTAATTGTGAAAATTAACCTAAGTTTCAATTTCAACCTCCTTCACTTTGTCTCCATTCTCACTGTTTCTGAGGCTCTGACACGACTCCGGAGTTTTCGTAACAGGTGCAGTGCAACTTTGAGAACTGCCAAATATGACAGTGGGTAAATAAGCCACGCTGTCCTCTCATATTAAATGGAATTTTCACCAAGGGGAAATGGGAGCTTGACTGAATGTGAATTACAATCCTGCCAAAGGATATTGCCTGAAAAAATTCTCCCTCTAACTGTTAATTCATTTATTTAATCCTTGGGTGGGTCTCCAACCTGCTGCTCAGACAAGGCAGCTGCCTCCATTGATGAGAGGGTAATGAGCTGCCCCGACATTCCATTTTTATCAGCTTGCCCTTTTGAGATTGGGTCTGGCTTTTAAAAAGAGGTAGATCGAGGGGGAAAACACAGTACAGTTTCCAGAAGAGACACTTCTGGAAGACAGTATGCAATAGACAATAGTTTGAATAAAGAGAGCAAAACAGAGCCAAACTGCCAAAGCTAGGCTGCTGTCCTGGCTCTCCCATTAAGGAAGTTCCCAGTGAGGAAATCAGGTGTTTTTGCTTAGAATCTCTGGACTCTGTACTCAGGCAGCACTCCTTGTAACAGGTGAGCAGAACTCTAGGGTATTTGAAAGAAATGCTTAATCCTAGTGATCTCTATGTTCCCAGCACCTAGGACATTTCTGCTTCCATAGTGTGTACTCAGCAAATTCTCGTGTATGAATGAGGCATCTTTCTCTGATCTGTTAATGACATAGTCTTAGAGAACAGCAACAAAAAGAGGGTGACACATGACAAAAATGTCCCCATGAACCTTAGACTCAGCTGTTGGAGGCAGAAGTAAAACTTTTGTATACAGTTATGTCAAATGGACTGGACTCTCTTTGGGGTGGGAGAATTTTCTGTGGAGTAGTTGGCAAATATCTAGAGTTATTTGCATGGGTTGTGAGGGGTGATGGTTGGACCAATCTCTCAGGCAGCCAGAAGCTAGGAAAGAACCCAGGTTGCTGAAGCAGAACCCAAGAAATCACAAAAATGAGCTTTTATGGATGGCTCTAGGATTTCAGAATAGTCTGATTTCTGCTGGCAAGTAAGTCTATGCCTTGTTTTCCTTGCCGCCTCTGGTGGCTCAGAAGTGCCGTCATGGAGCTGGGTTGTACCCAATAAACATGAAACCCAGGATAGAAACAATGAGTTGGGGAGACTGTGTCACACAGTGGAAGGAACCACAGATTTTAGAAACAAAGAAGCCTCATTTCATATCCATGCCACTAACTTAATAACTGAGTTACCATAGAATATCTCTGGGAAATAATACCCTCGCCCACTGCTTTTAGGACTTTCTGTGGGGAATCACATGAGATAACCAAGCATGTACCAAAGTAAGGTGCTTAGCCGAGTGTGCTCAATAAATGTCCTCTTGGGCTCCACATCTTGGCTAGATCTCTTTGATCAAGTCATACGATGAGATGCCATGTTTGAATAGTGCAGTGACGTGGCACAGATCCATGGAGTGTGGAATGTGTGGATAGCACTTTGGGACTCCCTGACTCTCTGCTTCCCCATTTCTTGCAAGTCACTGGTTTAAATCCTGTACTTTACGCTCCTGGTCTCATGTTAGCTGATAACTGCCTGGGTCACCCTCTGTCGCTGTGTGCATTTCAGAGGATAGTATTTCTTTCCCCTCTCTAAATAGATATGGTGCCATCATCTATTTTCCCTCATTTAAATTCTACTTGCCTTATTTCTTTCCCTTGGCATGGAGATAGATCACCTCTGCAGCCACCTGACCCAGCAGGAAGAATGCTTTATGGTCTAACAGTATTCAGGTAAACTTAGGCAGGATTGTTACTCATGTGACTGCTAGCCAGATAAACCAAGTGACAGCAACACAGTTAGGTTTCTTTCTATTCCCCTCCCTCTCCCTCCTTTTTAACAAATTAACTGAGTCTTCTGTTGGCTTCTACTTGAGCTGCAGCAGGTGAGGAGAGCAGGAAAGAAAACTGCTGGCAAGTGGCTTCTGAACTTTCAAGGCCATTTACCCTGGAGGACAAATAACAGTTGAAAAAGAAACTGTTCCTGTTTGGCATCTGTACCTGCATTACTTATATGAACTTTTTTGGTAAATAAAGGGTAAGGAAGAAGTACAGCCTCCCAGCTGCAGGAGGGATCCTGGGGTGGCACTAAGTTAGCCAACTGGGTAGATCACTTTTAGTAGTAAACAGTGAAATTACTGATTTCAGTACTGGCTAAGGCTTGGTCAGCGTCCCAGTCATGTGCAAACCAGAGTAATTCTGAGACCAGGAGCTTGTTTGTTTTTTCAGCCAGGGTTATGCGAATTTTTTTTTTTTTTTTCTCTTCTAACGGCAGTGAAACTATCCTCCAAATATTCAATGGTGTTTGGTCATGGAGAGGTAGTAGAGCTTAGTGGTAAACAGCATAAATTTTGGAGACAGATTGCTTGCCTGGGTTCAAATCCCATTTCTGCTGCTTGTGAACTGTGTCCCGTTTTCCTTACCTTAAAATGAAGATAATTGTACCCTCTTCCGAGGACTCTTGTCACTATTGCGTTAATGTATTCATTTTCAATGCTGGCTGCACATTAGAATCACGAATGTCTGGGCGGCCACCCCAGGCAGTCTGGATCAGAGTCTCTTCTGGGAGTGGAATCTAGGCCTCAATTTTTTTTTTTTTTTTTTTAATGTTCTCTTGGTGATTCTAACCAACAGCCTGGGTTAGAACCACTGAGTTAATATGTGTAAAGTGCACAAAACAGAGCTTGGCGTATAATAAACACTCGTTAAGCCTGAGATTCTATTAATGTTTTTATTGTTTTAAAAATTATTTTTATGAAGGTAATAGTATTTTCTAAATGTGGCTTGGTTTCATCTATAATCATTGAACATTTTTTATGCTTGACAAAATGTCATATTGAAAAACCCAATAATAGTTCTACAACATTAAAAATTATAGTCAAAATAATTTCAAAATACATAACTCATATTTTTGTAATCAGAAGAAATGTTTATTCAAAATACAAAAACATATCAACTTGATTTGAGTAAGTAACTTTATGGAACTGTGGCTCCGGTGTTTGTCTTTTTCTTATACCAACTGATAAAAAATTTCATTGCAAATTAAGTCTGTTTGTTAGGTTTCTTACTGGTAATAATCTTACTTTAACAGCAGCAAAAACAAGCCACTTGAAAGTGACAGTGATTATTTCAATTTTTTGCATATTTTTGCCCATGTGTGGAACCCTTCCTTCGAGAATTTTTAAAGTTATTGAAAGCGTATAAAAATGGTAAATTGTCCGGGCGCGGTGGCTCAAGCCTGTAATCCCAGCACTTTGGGAGGCCGAGACGGGTGGATCACGAGGTCAGGAGATCGAGACCATCCTGGCTAACACGGTGAAACCCCGTCTCTACTAAAAAACAAAAAAACTAGCCGGGCGAGGTGGCAGGCGCCTGTAGTCCCAGCTACTCGGGAGGCTGAGGCAGGAGAATGGCGTGAACCCAGGAAGCGGAGCTTGCAGTGAGCTGAGATCCGGCCACTGCACTCCAGCCTGGGTGACAGAGCAAGACTCCGTCTCAAAAAAAAAAAAAAAAGTAAATTAGTTTTCTCAGTGAATTTACATTTTGGGGCTAATTTGAGCTTGTCCAAATATTTGACATTCAATTTAGAAGTTGCTTATGTTCAGGGTAGAGCAAGTAATTGATTGTTTCCATCAAAAGTAAACAGACTAATAATTTGGCTCAAGTAAATTAAAAACTTTACTTTATAATTTACAAATCTCCCTTTATGAAAATCCATTTCAATGGATTAGTTGTATGTAGTATGATTGGCTGGAGGTTTTTTAGCTTTTAGTTTTTTATCTTTTTTTAATTTCAATTTTTACTTTAGATTCAGGGGTACATGTGGAGGTTTGTTACAAGGGGATATTGTGTGATGGTGAGGTCTGGGCTTCTATTGATTCCATGTGATCAGTTGGTTTTTATTTTTATTTTTTGAGACGGGTTTTGCTCTGTCGCCCAGGCTGGAGTACAGTGGCATGATCTTGGCTCACTGCAACCTCCGCCTCCCAAGTTCAAGCAATTCTCCTGCCTCAGCCTCCTGAGTAGTTGGGATTACAGGCATGTGCCACCACACTTGCTAATTTTTGTAATTTTAGTAGAGACAGGTTTCATCACGTTGGCCAGGCTGGTCTCCAACTCCTGACCTCAAGTGATCCACCCGCCTTGGCCTCCCAAAGTGCTGGGATTACAGGCATGAGCTACCACGCCTGGTCTCAGTTGGTTTATTAAATCAGTAGTCTCCAGACTCTGTTCCATCAGTAAAATAATTTAAATGTAAGCATATGCTTCTAATAAACACATTTATTTATCAATTACATACATGTAATATGTACACTGTACACATGAACATGTGTATATAATGAACATTACACAACAAATAATATATCTAATATTTTCTTTCCACACAATAGCAAACCA